CTTTGTTTCAGTCCATACAAGGATTTGTTCAGCCTGATGCAGTATTGATCTCGAGATGCATGCTTATCTTTAAGCTCTATGCCATCTGGTAATCTCATGTATATTTCATTGTCGAGGGGCCCATAGAGATATGCGGTGACAACATCCATTAACCGCAAATCTAGATTTTCTCTTATGGCCAGACTTATGAGGAATCGAAAAGTAGTTGCATCCACCACCGGAGAATAAGTCTCCTCATAATCGATTCCGGGTCTCTGTGAGAATCCTTGTGCTACAAGCCGTGCTTTATAACGAACGACTTCACCGAGTTCGTTTCTTTTACGCACAAAGACCCATTTATGGCCCACTGGTTTGACATTGAATGGTGTCCGGATGATCGGACCAAACACATTCCTGAGTTTGAGACTCTTTAACTCCACGTTTATGGCTTCTTTCCATTTTAGCCAGTCTGTTCTATGAGTGCACTCTATGATAGACGTGGGTTCTAGATCCTCTTGCGTGTTCGCAATATCAAGTGCTACTTTGTATGCAAAGAGTGCATTTAAGTCGACTTCTTTTCTGTTCCATTGGGTTCCAGACATGTTGTAATTGATAGAGATCTCATTGTTATCGATCTCGTCAGAACCTAGAGATTCGGCGTCCCGAACCTCTTCTGGTGGTTCATTAGAGTGAGTCTCAGCGCGCGCTATGTCTGTTATATTGGGAATCCCGGTTTCAACTATTGCACCTTTCTTTGATTTCCGTGGATTCTTGTCTTTGGAACCTAGAGGTCTGCCACGTTTATTTCGTGATGCAGACTCTGTAGCAACTTGAACTTGCCCCGTTGGAACAGTGATTCGTACTGGTGCATTACAAGCTGGTATGTACGATTTGGTTACTTTGTTCGGGTCAGCAAAGGAATCTGGCAATTGATTAGCTAGCTTTTGATAGTGTATAATCTTTTGGATCTCCGAATCACATTCTAGAGTCCGAGGATCTTGCCAATTTAAGGATGTTTGATTCCATGATAGCTCTTTGACCAGCTTGTGTTTCTCTCCACCCAATGTTGGATATACCGATTCATCAAATTGGCAATCCGCATATCTGGCCTTAAATAGGTCTCCAGTGGTCGGCTCGAGATATTTGATGATGGTGGGAGAATCAAAACCAACATATATTCCCATCCTCCTTTGAGGTCCCGTTTTGGTTCTATGTGGTGGAGCAATGGGTACATAGACTGAGCACCCAAATGTTTTGAGATGGGAGATGTCTGGCTCATGACCCTGTAATAATTGGGATGGGGAATATCTATGCTCACTAGATGGTCGGATGCGTATTAGTTCAGCAGCATGTAATACTGCATGTCCCCAAGCTGAGACCGGGAGTTTCGACCTCATGAGTAATGGTCGAGCAATCCATTGGATTCGTTTAATGAATGATTCAGCAAGTCCATTCTGAGTATGGACATGTGCCACAGGATGTTCAACGGTCACCCCCATGGCCATACAGTAATCATTAAACGCTTGGGAAGTGAATTCACCAGCATTATCAAGACGTATAGTCTTTAGTGGGAAGTCTGGAAAGTTGGCTCGTAATCTGATGATTTGAGCCAACAACCTAGCAAAAGCTTGGTTCCGAGAAGACAACAGGCATACATACGACCAACGGGTCGAAGCATCTATTAGTACCATGAAGTACCGGAATGTCCCAGAAGGTGGGTGAATGGGACCACAGATGTCTCCTTGGATTCTTTCCAGAAAATGCAATGTCTCTTTGGACACTTTTACTGGTGAAGGCCGAGTGATCAACTTCCCTTGGGAGCAAGCTGTGCACATGAGGTGCTGAGGGAAGACTCGGTTTTCTCGAAGGGTGTGTCCTTGAGAACTTTGGATTAATTTACGCATCATGGTCGTACCGGGATGACCAAGCCGGTCGTGCCAAATAGTGTAGTCTTGGAATCGGGCTTTGAGAGCATTATTAGCCTCAATCATACTGACCTTAGCCTAGTAAAGGCCAGTAGATAATGCGGGTATAGTCTCGAGGACTTGTTTATGGCCAAGTGTGATCTTAGTGATCAGTAGGGATTCTTTGTTCCCTTCACCCTGAGTTTCTATGTGGAAACCATTAAGTCTGAAGATAAATAGCAAATAAAACAAATCCCCAAAATAAGCAAGTGTTCAGATGATAGAATCAATCGAGGAGATCTAAAATCTCGTAGTCCATGGGATCGGTCGGCTCGGTGGTGGTGTCGTCAGCAACAACTTGCTGGGCCATGTTAGCTTCAGCAGGTGCTTTCCCATGTTTCTGATACAAATCGCAATGAAACTTTGGAGTATGACAGTTCTTTGTCCAGTGATTGAACATTCTGCATCTGGTGCAGGCAGACTGATTGGTTGGGTGGGCAGGGCGGTTTGGTTTAGAGATACCACGGCCCTTACCGGAACCATAACCGATGTTATGTCGGTTGCCACTTCCATTTCCGCGTCCATTCCCATGCCCACGGCCACGATCTGAGGATCTGTCTCGCTGGACATAGTAGGATTCTTTTCGGGAATCTGGTACTGGAGCCGATCCCGGGGGCCTCTGGGCACTGTTCCTCATTAACAGCTCGTTGTTTTTCTCGGCCAAGAGCAAACAAGATAACAAATCTTCGTACAATGTATGTTTCATTGCACGATATTGCTGCTGAAGCACAATATTTTGGGTATGGAAGGTGGATAATGTTTTCTCGAGGAGATCATTATCAGACACCTCTTCACCACATAGTTTCATGATTGAAACTATCCGAAAGAGTTCGGAGTTGTAGTCATCCACAGATTTGTAATCTTGGAACCGGAGTTCCTTCCAGTCAAACTTGGCTTGTGGCAAGAGCACCGTTTTCTGGTGATCATACCGTTTTTTCAGGGCCACCCAAAGTTCGAGTGGGTTCTCAAGAGTGAGATATTGTTGTTTGAGGCTCGCGGCCAAATGATGGCGGATATGAAATATCGCCTGGGACCGGTCTTTATCAGAGGCTTTGTTATCCGCTTGGATACACTCACCCAGTCCCTTTGAGTTGAGGAAAATCTTGGTGTCCAGGGCCCATTCGAGATAGTTTTCACCGGAGACCTTGAGGGCCTCGAACTCGACTTTTTGAATGTTTGACATCCGAAACATAAAATTGATTTTATTAGGGGTTTGTTAAAAGGATAGTTATATGAAAATAATTAAATTTTCTATTTGAGGAAACTTTATATTTGAGGAAAGTTTCTAATTTGGGAAACTTTCTAAATGAGGAAAGTTTTCATTCCGGGTCATTTGCTATTTGAGGAAAGTTTCTATTTTAGGAAACCTTCTAAATGAGGAAACTTTCTAAATGAGGAAAGTTTCTATTTGAGGAAACCTTCTAAATGAGGAAAGTTTCTAATTTGGGAAACTTTCTAAATGAGGAAAGTTTCCATTCCGGATCATTTGCTATTTGAGGAAAGTTTCTATTTTAGGAAACCTTCTAAATGAGGAAACTTTCTAAATGAGGAAAGTTTCTATTTGAGGAAACCTTCTAAATGAGGAAAGTTTCTAATTTGGGAAACTTTCTAAATGAGGAAAGTTTTCATTCCGGGTTATTGCTATTTGAGGAAAGTTTCTATTTTAGGAAACCTTCTAAATGAGGAAACTTTCTAAATGAGGAAAGTTTCTATTTGAGGAAACCTTCTAAATTTGGGGGAAACTTTCTAAATGAGGAAAGTTTCTATTTGAGGAAAACTTTCTAAATGAGGAAAGTTTCTATTTGAGGAAACCTTCTAAATGAGGAAATTTTCTAATTTGGGGGAAACTTTCTAAATGAGGAAAGTTTCTATTTGAGGAAAACTTTCTAAATGAGGAAAATTTCCATTTGAGGAAACCTTCTAAATGAGGAAAGTTTTCATTCCGGGTCATTTGCTATTTGAGGAAGGTTTCTATTTTAGGAAACTTTCTCGGGAATCGTAAATTTTAAGGATACGGAACATAAGTTCGGTTTAATGGTTTAAAGTTGGACCGGAATATTAGATTCCGGTTTGGGCCGAATTGATTTCCGGTTTAGAATAACCAGTTTGAACCGGTTTACCCAGATTGAGATCCGGTTATTATTTTTTGGAACCGGTTTGATAATCGGTTTAACCGATGAACCGAATTGATATTCGGGTTTAGGAGTTAACCAAGAATGATTTCCGGTTTAGGGGATACACGACAATTGCGGTTTTGGATTTGATTTGATTTAGGTTTTAAGATTTCGGCCATGGCTTAGTGTTTTCGATTTTGAGTGTTAGGTTTAAGTAATACAAGGTTTTTGATCTTTAAGCTTTTAAGGTTTTGTTTTTACCTTTCACCAATTGGGGTTGAACGAATTGAACCGGGAGCTTAAGACCTCGGTAACTCACGCTGTCGATGAACAGTACCGATGAACAGTGTCGATGAACAGTGTCGGCGTGAACAGTATCGGCGAACAGTGTCGGTGAACAGTATCGGTGAACAGTGTCGATGAACAGTATCGGTGAACAGTGTCGGCGTGAACAGTATCGGCGAACAGTGTCGATGAACAGTATCGGTGAACAGTGTCGGCGTGAACAGTATCGGCGAACAGTGTCGATGAACAGTATCGGTGAACAGTGTCGGCGTGAACAGTATCGGCGAACAGTGTCGATGAACAGTATCGGTGAACAGTGTCGGCGTGAACAGTGTTTTGCGATTTTTAGGGTTAGGGTTGTTAAGAGCAAACTCGTGCTGATAACGTGTTGTAAAACTTATTGTTGTCTCATTCCATTCCACAAACATAAAAATAGAACAAGTTCAAAACGTCATGACACAACGAAAGTTACTAAAATTGTCAAAACCACAAGTACCAACAAATCTAAGTTTTGTATTCCTCCTTTAATTCCCATGATTCCTCACGCGCCTGCGCGTGACTTAACTCGACAACGAACACACACCAGAAACCACACACATTAGTAATAAACTCCACGCGCCTAATCGGCGCGTAAAACGTCCTCTAGCGTTCGTTTTGATGATATCTTCTTGCTTGATTCTTCTCTGATCTTTTTGTTCCTCTTTTCTCGTCTCTCTGAAAATCGTTTTCCGTTCTTCGCATCGGAGATAAAAAAAAAAAAGAATGTCTTCGAAAGACAAGAAACCGGCGAGACCATCGACTAGTCGTGGTGGAATCCGAACTCTTTCCGATCTTAATCGTAGGTCTGGTCCTGATTCCGACAGTGATTCCGATGGACCTCAAGAATACTACACCGGCGGTGAAAAAAGGTCAGTCTTGTTGAGAAAAGGTCTTTGAGATTTTTGATGCTAAATGGTTATTAAAGAAGTGAGAGGATCGTGTTTAGTTATAATTGGATCTAGAGTTATCTAATTAGCTAATGATTATTATTAATTAGAGGTTTTTTTTAATCATTAATTGTTTTTTTTAACTGTTCAAATTGGTGATATATCACTGTGGATTGAGTTTAAACCTAGCTAAGTATGTCAATTTAGGGTTATGTTAATGTTGAAACTGTCTAATAATGTTTTATTGTTGTTGTTGTTGTAGTGGTATGCTTGTTCAAGATCCATCCAAAAAAGATGATGTTGATGAGATATTTAATCAAGCTAGACAATTAGGAGCTGTGGAAGGACCTCTTGAGCCTCCTTCGAGTTCGAGGAGTTTCACTGGAACTGGGAGATCGCTTTCTGGTGAAAATATGTCTACTGGTCTTCAACAGCCTGAGCCTGTTGTTCACAACATTGTTTTCTGGTCTAATGGATTCACTATAGATGATGGTCCTTTGAGGAAATTGGATGATCCTGAGAATGCATCGTTTCTCGAGGTGAATAGTACGAAAGACTTTCATTTGAAGCTGTTTCGATCTTCTGTTTTGAGTTATTGATTTAGTTTGTGTTCTTTGTAGAGCATTCGAAAATCTGAGTGCCCGAAAGAGCTTGAGCCTGCGGATAAAAGAGCTCCGGTTCATGTCAATCTGATGCGAAGGGAAGAGAAATGTCCTGTGAGTCCCTCTCTGCTCTATCCATATTGTATATTTTTTCCTGATCAGCTTTTATATGTTTTGCACCACTAACATAATGTAGTCTCTTAATTGATATGCGATTACTGGTCTTGTTTCTTGTTATAGGAAAGACAGAAGCGTAGGGTTTCATTTCAAGGTGTTGGAAGAACTCTAGGTGGTAGCAATGACGGCAGCGGAAGTAGCTCACCTGTTGCTCCAGACTCCGCTGCTATTCCCATCCAAACCAACCAAACCGTACCAGCCCCACCTCCAAGTCTTGTAATAGATGAAACTATTCCAATCACATCGATACAGCTTAGATTAGCGGATGGGACACGTCTGGTGGGTAAGTTTAATCACCATCACACGGTCAACGACATTCGCGGTTTCATTGACTCCTCTCGTCCTGGAGCTCCGGTGAACTACCAGCTTCAGACAATGGGATTCCCACCTAAGCCTTTGACTGATCTCACTCAGACCATTGAAGAAGCTGGTCTCGCCAACTCTGTCGTTCTTCAGAAATTCTAGAAAATTCTACAAGGTTTGTTCTTTTTTGTCTTTCTATATGTATTATTATGAGATCTCCATAACTGTTATAGTAACCAGATCTTTGAAATGTAAGTTACTTCTTCGCTTTGTATACGCAGCATAAATGAGGGTCTCTCATATGAGAAGAAAAGACTTGTGGTATAGTTTTTCGTAATTTATCGAAATTATATAATGAACAACTGTTATATATTAGTTTGGTAAGAGTCTAATCAAGTGTTATCATATGTATGTATATCATTGTTCGGAAGAGTATCAATAAAGAGTGTTATAAGCTTATTGAGAATTGAAATCTATCTGACATGGTAAAATTACAACGTTTATAAGTTTATTGAAAATTTGGAACTTATGTTTGTGAAAGGAAGAACTAGAACTTTTTCATACTATTTTCGATAACTTTACTTTTTACAATGACGTTATGTTCAAAATTACAAGGTTCAAAAAAAACATTCTCAAATTTATTAAAATTAATTTTTGTTAAAATATTTTCATAAGAAATTTAAGCATTGAATAACACCGAAATTACAAAGTAATTAAGTACATAAACTACTATGGAGTCAATGGTTTCGACTTTCAAGTCAGCATGATGAAATTTCAACAATTTATTCGTGAATGCAGAAATGCAGACATAGGCCTGGGCATATTACCCGAATCCGAAGAACCGAACCGAACCCGACCCGAAAAACCCGATCCGAATCCGAACCCGAAGTTTTAAAATACCCGAACGGGTTCTAAACTTCACAACCCGAAAATCCGAACCCGAACCCGACCCGAACCCTAACCCGAACAAGTACCCGAACATACCCGAAATATAAGTACATAGTTATAATACATTAGTAATATTTATACTTGTAAAAACTTAAGTGCCTAAATTATTTGGATGTTAAGAATTTTTGGGTGTTTTAGTTACTTTTGGCTAGATTCGGTTAAAAAATACTTGGGTTTTATAGATTTTTGAGTATTTTTCAATACATTGCAAAGAATCGAATACAAAATTTTTAATATTTGGACACTTCGGGTAAGCCCGAATCCGAACCCGAAATATCCGATCCGAATCCGACCCGAACCCGAAGTTTTAAAATACCCGAACGGGTCTTAGTTTTCTATACCCGAAAAACCCGACCCGAATATCCGAACTCCCAGGCCTAAGACATATCGTTATTTCTATATGACTAATTTTGTAAAAGGACAACATTTAATTTTGTTGAAATTTATGTTTGTTGAAATGAAGAACGAGCATTCTTTCAACTATTTTCAACAAGTTTTTTTTTTACAATAACGCTAGGTTTAAAATAACAAGGTTTCTAAATCATTGTATTTTTATTAGTTCGGTAAAAAAAAACTCTTTCAAATTTACTAAAATCTAATATAAAAGAGATGTTAAAAAAAAAAAATCTAATATAAAATTAAATTTTAGCTAAAATATTTTTAAAATTAAATGATATAGATTTTAACTAGTATAGTATTAAATACCTCCGGACTTGTAAAGTAGTTGAAATACATTTGTGGAGTCAATGGTTTCAAGTCAACAATGATGAAATTTCAACAATTTGCTTAAACACTACAAAAGTGAGAGTTAACTTTGTTGATTTGTTCGGATTTTGGTCGTTAACCAATCACTTGGATGACAAGAAGAACATCAAGTGGCAAAAGGCAAAAAGCTCTAAGCAAAAAAAAATGTCGAAGCCATGTTTTCTCTCCTGCTTCCTTTTCTTTTTCTTCTTCTTCTTCTTCATACCAAAACTATCTTTCTCTTGTCCACAAGATCAAAGACAATCCCTTCTCGAGTTCAAGAACATGCTGATTCACAACATCAAGGAAAACTCCACAGCCGTTGGAGGTTTAGGGACATGGAGGCCAAACTCAGATTGCTGCAAATGGCTACGCGTTAGATGTAACGCTAGTTCGCCTTCCAAAGAAGTGATAGACCTGAATCTAAGCTATCTCATCCTCTCTGGCACAGTTAGTTCAAGCATTTTGAGACCAGTTCTGCGTATAAACTCTCTTGTTTCGCTTGATGTCTCGTATAATTCTATACAAGGAGAGATTCCTGGAGATGCATTTGTGAACTTGACGAGGTTGATCTCTCTTGACATGAGTTATAATAGCTTTAATGGCTTTATCCCTCCTGCATTGTTTACTTTGAAGACTCTTCAGTATCTTAACTTAAGCCTGAGTAGTTTAAGAGGCGAGATTCCCGGAGATGCGTTTGTGAACTTGACCAGCTTGATCTCTCTTGACATGAGTTATAATAGCTTTAACGGCTCTATCCCTCCTACATTGTTCTCTTTGAAGACTCTTCAGCATCTGAACTTAAGCGCGAATTATTTTGGAGGAGAGATTCCTGGAGATGCGTTTGTGAACTTGACCAGCTTGATCTCTCTTGACATGAGTTTGAATAGCTTTAACGGCTCTATCCCTCCTACATTGTTCTCTTTGAAGACTCTTCAGTATCTTGACTTAGGTCTGAGTGGTTTAAGCGCAGAGCTTCCTGGAGATGTGTTTGTGAACTTGACCAGCTTGATCTCTCTTAAAATGAGTCTTAATTTCTTGACTGGCTCTAGCCCTCCAAAATTGTCCTCTTTGAAGACTCTTCAGCATCTCGACTTAAGCCTGAATCTTTTTGGAGGAGAGATTCCTGAAGATGCGTTTGTGAACTTGACCAGCTTGATCTCTCTTGACATGAGTTCTAATAGCTTTAACGGCTCAATTCCTCCTACATTGTTCCCTTTGAAGAATCTTCAGTATCTTAACTTAAACGAGAGTGGTTTTGGAGGAGAGATTCCTGGAGATGTGTTTGTGAACTTGACCAGCTTGATCTCTCTTGACATGAGTTCTAATAGATTTAACGGCTCTATCCCTCATGAATTGTTCTCCTTGAAAAATCTTCAGCGTCTTGACTTAAGCAGGAATGTTATTGGCGGTACATTGAGTGGTGACATCAAAGAGCTCAAGAATCTGCAGGAACTGATCTTAGATGAGAATCTCATTGGAGGAGAGATTCCTCCAGAAATAGGTAAACTAGAAAATAAATTCTCAAATAGTAAACTTTATATTCATGTGTGTTAAAATGTTCCTACCTTTTAAAATGTTGCAAGGTAGTCTTGTCGAACTACGGACGCTGACATTGAGGCAGAACATGTTCAATGGTTCTATACCGTCGTCTGTTTCACGGTTAACGAAGCTCAAAACGATTGATCTTCAGAACAATTCCTTGTCTTCTGATATTCCAGACGATATTGGAAACTTAGTCAATCTATCAACTCTATCTTTGAGCATGAACAAGTTGTGGGGCGGAATTCCAACGTCGATTCAGAATCTGAAAAATCTTGAAACCATTCAGCTTGAGAATAACAATGGCTTGTCAGGTGAGATTCCCACAGCTTGGCTGTTTGGTCTTGAGAAGCTGAAGGTACTGCGGCTCGGAGGAAACAAGCTCCAATGGAACAACAATGGTTATGTCTTTCCACAGTTTAAGTTAACTGATCTGTCACTTAGATCTTGTGGCTTAAAAGGGAATATTCCGGATTGGCTCAAGAATCAAACAACTCTTGTTTACTTGGATTTGAGCATTAACAGACTCGAAGGAAGTTTCCCGAAATGGCTAGCTGATTTGACAATCCAATTCATAATTTTATCAGACAACAGACTCTCAGGCTCACTGCCTCCAAATTTGTTTCAGTCTCCGAGCTTATCCTATCTTGTACTATCAAGGAACAACTTTTCTGGTCAGATCCCTGAAAAGATTGTCATATCACTGGTCATGGTACTCATGCTGTCTGAAAACAACTTCTCAGGATCAGTACCAAAGTCTATTACAAAGATCTTTTTGCTGGAGTTGTTGGACTTGTCAAAAAATAGATTATCAGGTGAATTCCCGAGGTTCCATCCTGAGTCAAACCTTGTGTGGCTCGATATATCTTCCAACGAGTTCTCCGGGGATGTTCCAGCTTACTTTGGGGGATCCATCAGTATGCTATTAATGAGTCAGAACAACTTCAGCGGCGAATTTCCTCAGAACTTCAGAAATCTCTCACGTCTGATCCGTCTTGATCTCCATGACAACAAAATCTCTGGAGAATTTGCGAGTTTAACCTCCCGATTATCTTCTTCTCTAGAGGTTCTTAGCCTGAGAAACAATTCCCTCAAAGGTTCAATCCCAGAAGGCATATCAAATCTCACAAGCCTCCAGGTCTTGGATCTCTCTCAGAACAATCTTGATGGGTATCTCCCTTCGTCTCTTGGGAATCTTACATCCATGATAAAATCTCCTGAGAGCTCATCTTCGGCTAAGCGACCCTTTTACAGCTTCAATACCGACTTAGAAACATTAATCAAGATCAAATCACAAGATATATTTAGTCTTGTAGTGAACTGGAAGAATTCAAAACAAGTTCTTTTCGACAGAAACTTCTACCTCTACACTCTCTTAGATCTCTCCAAGAACAAGCTACACGGAGAAATCCCAACTTCTTTAGGCAATCTCAAAAGACTAAAGGTTTTAAACGTTTCCAACAACGAGTTCTCTGGATTGATCCCACAAAGTTTTGGAGATCTTGAGAAGGTAGAGAGCTTAGACCTTTCACACAACAACCTCACAGGCGAAATCCCGAAAACGTTATCCAAGCTAAGCGAGCTGAATACTTTGGATTTGAGTAACAACAAGCTTACAGGTAGAATCCCTGTAAGTCCTCAACTAGACAGATTGAACAATCCAAACATTTACGCGAACAACAGCGGAATCTGTGGAATGCAAATCCAAGTACCATGCTCTCCTACACAGACCAAGCAGCCAGCTGAGGAAAAAGAAGAAGAAGAAGAAGAAGACAAAGAAGAGGAAACAATGTTTTCATGGAAAGCTGCAGTCATAGGTTGTTCTTGTGGATTTCTTATAGCAGTTGTATTCATGTCATACAATGGGATATGGAAGTAACAATCCCAAAATGTACTCCTAAAAATAATTTAAAATAAAATTTTCTTTTTAAGTTCATCATTCCACATTACCAATTGAAAATTTATTTATGATGATTACAAATATAACATGTCGTTATTTTGATAAAAGGAACAGATCATCACTCTCTAACAGAACCAGAGCAATCGAAACGGAGCACATGGCAAAATCTACCAGGAAACTACTAATATTCCGACTAAAGGAAGACGAGAGCCATTGCGATGGAAGCTGAAACACTTACGACATGAATCTGCTACAAGGCGGAGTACAACACCACCGTGAAATCCACCCTAAATCATCACCCACCAACGACGGCGACCGCTACTAACACAGGAGACGCCATGGGCCTTCTCACAAAATATTAAAATTAACCCCAAATCCGATAACCGATCCGAATAATCCGATTTCGAAACCGAACCGAATAGTTACAAAACCCGAGCGGATAATGAATTCTCTTATCCGAATTATCCGAATTGAATCCGATCCGAACCAAAAACCGGATAGATATCCGCTAACCCGAAATAAAAGTATCCATCCAAAAATATTAGTTATATTTAATTATAATTTATACCTATAAATAACTAAATAACAAAAATCTCCAAAATAACCTAGATATCTAAAAAAAATTAGTTATATATGTTACAATTATAAATAAATCTGCAAAATTTAATCAAATTTTAGAAAATTTTACTAATTTTTCTCTTAAAATTATACAAATTTTTAGATTTTTTTCTCGAAAACCGATCCGAATCCGATACTATTTGAACTAAATCCCAACCTAATAGTCCTAAAATACGAACGCAAAATAAACTCCTTTATCCGAATCCAAAAAAATTTGAACCGAATTAGATCCGAAATCCGAATGTCCAGGCCTAATTATGCATCTAACACATTTTTAGATTGCATATTTCACATGTATTAAATATTAATATAAAACTAAAAATTTTAGGCTATTAAAATTTTGGAATAAAGACAAATAAAATAAAATACAATTTTATTTTTTTCCATAAATTGTGTGTTTTTTTCAACAAAAAAGAACTTGTAATAATTGGCTCATCTTAAAAATTTGACTGTTTGAGGCCAAAAAAAAAAATAACAAAGGAAAAAACTTGTAATCTCCGTTCTGTATAGTGAAACTTCATCGAATCTAGGGTTCTAGATTTATCTCTTCGTTCTTCTGGGATTTGTTCTTCTTCTTCCCATCGATCTCGAGCTTCCGATCTTCTAAAAAGAATCAATCTTGGTACATTTCGAGTAACAGAAACGAAAACGAGAGAAATCAAACAAAACCCAGCCTAATCGAGCTCGTCAGTCGGTGTACAACCCCTAAATTTCATGGCGAAAACTCGACCTGGTGTTGCTTCTTCGGCGAAGAGCAAGCTGAGCAAGAAAGATATCGACTCGTACACTATCAAAGGCACCACCAAAATTGTTAGAGGCAAGTTCTATGTGAATTCTCTATAAAACTAATCACTATTTTGATTGCTTCTTTTGGGTTATTGAGTTGCGATTAGATTTCTATAAACTCATTTCAATCTGAAACGGAAAAAAAATCTGTTCTTTTATATTAACTTATCTTCTATTGGATGCTTGACGTTGATTCAATGAAGTTGTGTTATGTCATTGCTTAATAAATACTTGTATGCAAAATGTAATCTTTTCTAGATTTCGTTTGTTGGAGTTATGAAGAGACAATTTTACTTGGAAATGTGATTTGTTGAGGTGGTTTTTTTTTCAGTGGGTGATTGTGTGTTAATGCGTCCATCGGATGCTGGTAAGGCTCCTTACGTGGCGCATGTTGAGAAGATTGAAGCAGATGCAAGGAACAATGTGAAGGTGCATTGTCGATGGTATTACCGTCCTGAGGAATCACTTGGGGGAAGGAGACAGTTCCATGGAGCTAAAGAGCTCTTCTTGTCTGATCACTACGATGTTCAAAGTGCACACACCATTGAAGGGAAATGTATCGTTCACACCTTTAAAAACTACACAAGGCTTGAAAATGTTGGAGTGGAAGATTATTATTGTAGATTTGAGTATAAGGCTGCTACTGGCGCATTTACTCCCGATCGAGTTGCTGTGTGAGTGGATATATAGTAATGAAACATGCCTTTTTCTCTCTAGTTAATTTCCATGAGTTTTGATTTATCTTCTTTTGGATTTTAATAAAGGTACTGCAAATGTGAAATGCCGTATAACCCAGATGATCTGATGGTACAATGTGAAGGGTGCAAGGACTGGTAAATGCTAATTTTCATCATTCTATTTTCACTTCCTTTTTATTTCAAGTATTGTTTCCTCAACTAGTAAGATATCTAATGCTGAATGCTGATGATTATAGACTTTTAGAAATTTGTTATTCCTAATCCGGAACAACTTGCTTGAGTAAATTTCAGATATAAATGGTCTCTGGTACTGGTACAGAAAAAATCAAATCTCTGCATCGTTCGTCTAGGCAAGAAGCCCATAGATTTTTTGGGGGATTTGTTAGGAAAGCATTTATGTTGCATCATTTGCTTATAGTTATCGCATCGGAAAATATTGGGTGCTCACTGTTTGAGCTCCTTATGATCGTAGACTAATCGAAGTAGTTGTTGCGTAATATGGTCTTTTTTTTTATTAAATTGTAGGAGTTACTACTATGTCATTGTAGGTATCACCCAGCGTGTGTAGGCATGACCATTGAAGAAGCCAAGAAGCTGGAACACTTTGTATGTGTTGAATGCAGATCTGAAGAAGATGGAGCCAAAAGATCTCAGAACGGATTTGCTTCAGCGCCAACCAATGATCTTAAGGTAAATATTGTCTTCGTTCTTTCCTTTTCACATGTCTTATCAATGCTTCTATTACTTTGATAGCAATAACCTTTGCCACCATCCATACCTTGTTAGTGACTCTTTTTTTGGGGTCTTAGTAAAGTCATGAAACCAAAATTTTCCATTGGCTTGATGTTTCTGTCTGCTGAAGCGAATTGCGAAATCATGACTCAGACATTGTTGATCCACATCTCTTCTCCGGATCAAATCCGTCTGTTTTTTTTTTTTTTTTTACATTTTACTGTTTTGCCTGAAACAACTTGTTCTGGTGTTAACATACAACTTGTGTTCAGGTGGAAGCCAAGCGCCGGAAAAGATGATGGCGGGTAAGAGCCTCTTACGAGTGCTTGAAGCTCTTTGGGTGCAGATTTAAGTTAAATAGGGTTTTGTCTTGTCCGTCATTTGATGTTGTGAAAAAGAGAGAAAGAAGAACAAGAGAGTGTGCAAAGAGCTGTATAGCCGAAAATTTCGTGGGAATAACGTATAAAAGTTTCAAGGCACATAAGAAATTGTTTTACTGTGGATTGGTTGTTTCTGAAAACCACTCCTCAGAGTCTGATGATAACCAGGTCGTTTTGTCATATACAAACACGGGATTGTGATAACCAGGCCGGTTTTCTGGTGATAAAGTGATAAACCGTATTTAAACCGAAATCAGAGTTGGAATACAAAGACTTATTAGTAGTTTATTACTGAAAATTTCACATTTAGATTTAGAAAGTACTTAATTATTGAGTAATTTATTGTTGGATTTATAAAGTAAGAACCGACGCCCTTTTTAGTGTATGTGTCTTAGAGCTAGCCGTTGAAAAGAGAAGACAAGTCTCGATTTGGAACGAACGGTCAGATTTTAAGGTTCCTGTCATGTCTGATGCGAATCTTTTTCTTTCCCTTTTTCTGCCGATTAGATTTTCGTGACAAAATTTTAACCGTGATGATCATAATAATGGAACAGATATGAGCAAGAAAAATCTAGCGATTCTGCTGCGTGCTAGAATGAAATCCAACAATCCCACCAAATTTTCCCTCTCTCAATTTCCTGTAAGTCTTTTCTTTTTCTCCTTCTTTCTTCTTTCTTTGAATTCTTAGGATAATATTGTGATTATATGCCCAAATTCACCTAATTTGTAATCATGGGCAATGAAAATTTTACATCTTTTTGATGATCCATAACTTTAGTCAGAGCTTCAGTGAGAGAAAGGAAGGTTTTTTAAGAAGATATATAATACGGCCAATTTGACTTTAAAAATAATGGCTGTTGACTTTGTTGTCAGAAGGAAATTCAATCTAATCCTCAAGAGAATCAATCTGAAGATCACATTGTACAAAATTCCAGTGAAGGAATTGGGAATTCTAGTGATTTTGGTAACACAGGAAGGTAAATTCTCATTGTAGATTTGATTTTGCACCTTTGATCTTTGAAGTAGTGAGTTTGCTTTTTGTTTTTGGTTATCTTTATATTGTTTAGGATATATGATGTTGTTCGAGAAACAATGCACTCGGCTATCTCAGCGAGTAAAACCGGTGTATTAGACATTACTCTTAGTGATTTTCAAGAGGTAAATTATCTTCACATTGCTTCTTGATTCCGTTCTTCGATGTGATTAACTTTTCCATTGGATTACTGATGGTTAAAATGTTTGTAGGGTTACTTTAGCCTTTCGCTTGAAGACCGTGAGAAATTACTGCTTGTTTTAGCCAAAGAATATGATGTTAACCGGGAGCAAGTTCGTGAACTTGTTAAGCAATATCTTGGACTTGAAAATCCAGCTAGTGAGTCTTTGTTTTTTTTTCATTGCTTTTTCTTTTGCCATTCTTCGTTACATTCTCCATTGATGAGCGTGTACTTTTCTTTAGGTGATGATAAGGATGTTTTATCTTCTGTTTTCTATCGCACTGAGCGGAATTTGAGACATACTCTTAGGCCAACATATGAAGTTCTATTTGAGAGGTTGAATACCCATCCAGGAGGGTTGAGATTTTTGTCCATCCTCCGTGCTGATCTTCTTTCGGTACTCACGTAATGTTTCCCATCTTCTTGTTATGTGACTGGAAACTTAAATAGTTGAAGATAGTTTTGATACAGTTGGTAAAAACGTTCCTGTTGAATCTGACACTGACGGTTGTTTCTAATGTATAGAAAAGAAAACTCGCCGTCTCTGCGAACATTAGATTCCTTTCTAAAGGAGAAACTCGGTATGTGGCTTAGTCCTGCCAGTTTAGAGCTTCATCAAATTACTTGGGATGATCCTGCTTCATTGCTTGAGAAAATTGTCGCATACGAGGTATGCATTAGTAGTTTCCATTATAGTAATCTCAGCTATTCAAGATGGTTAAAAGTTTTATCTAATAACGCATTATTTATAAGGCGGTACATCCTATCAGCAACCTCTTGGATCTTAAAAGAAGATTGGGAATAGGCCGTCGATGCTTTGGATATTTTCATCCATCTATCCCTGGTTAGTTAGTTTCTCTGGACACATGTTTCTTTGATTGTAAGTTGACCACTTTCTTGATCATCTTGTGCCGTTACTTCAGGTGAACCACTTATTTTTATCGAAGTTGCTCTTATGGAAACCGTTGCACAGACAATTCAGGTCAAACTAATCTTGATCCTATGCCATGTAGCTTAGATTCTGTAGCTATAAGTCTAAAATTTTCATTGTCGTTGCAGGAAGTTTTGTGGGACAATCCTCCCATACCAGAGAACCAAGCAACATGCGCTTTATTTTACTCGATTTCTTCAACTCAGGTACATGTGCACTCTCTTCTTTCATATCTGTAGATCTTGCGTTAGTTCTAGTTGATTCAAATCATCTTAGTTTTTCGATTCATTTCATGGAGCTGATTAAATCTATGGCTTTCTGACTCCTGTCTTATATATTTGAAGCCTGGCTTAGCTGGGATAAACCTCGGGAAATTTCTGATCAAACGAGTGATCACATTGGTGAAAAAAGACATGCCACATGTTTCTGTGAGTACTTTGACTAATTTGTATGAAGGTTTTATCTGCTTGCTGAACAAAATTGTGCTTTTGTTGCAGACATTTGCAACACTTAGCCCCATTCCTGGATTCATGCAATGGCTCCTCTCAAAATTATCGTCTCAGTCAAGATTTGCTGAAGATGAGCGTAGTACACAGAGCAATTCGCCATCATCTACTTTTAGCGAGAAAGTATTACTACCAGAAGAGGAACAAGCCCTCATGAGTCTATCAGAGTAAGAATTCTTCATGTATGTTCTTATCAGTTATATAGAAAATCAAGCTCAAGGCATCAACTAAGTGATCTTCTTATGCAGTGATTCTCCATCCGGTAGCAATGGCATGGAAGTGCTATTGAATTTGCTATCAGTAAAGAACTGCGATTGGGCTACTTCTCCTCGCCTATTGCCAGTTTTAGAACCTATTCTTATGCGGTTATGTGCTAGGTATGTTCATTCTTGGAGATTCTTGGAGATGTAATGGTTAATATGAATCATATTTCATAAAGGCTTAAAACTCCACTGTTTTGTCTTGATTTTGATAGGTACCTCTTGCAAGAGAAGAAAAGAGGAAAAGCTTTAGACTCTGTTGCTAACTTCCACTTGCAAAATGGAGCGGTAAGTCCAGTGAGTGCGATAGGGTTTAGTTAAAAGAGTGATTGAGATTGATAAGCTTTCATGTTTTGATATGTTACATAGATGGTTGAAAGAATAAATTGGATGGCGGATCGATCAGAGAAAGGTATTCATCAAAGTGGAGGCATCATGGTTAACTATGTCTATAGGTAAAGTAATCTCTGTATTCTATGTGACTCTGCTTCAAAGCTTTCATTTTTTGTTGGTCCTAAATCCGTCGTATTTGATTAATGACAGGTTAGAGAATATCGAAGACTATGCTCAATCGTATTTTGGGTCGGGCAAAATTCATGCCTCTCCCGGTATCCATTCCCGTCTCTAAGTAACTCCGCAAATCAAATTGGGTTTGATCGATGATTCTTGATTTTGTCATTCTCAAAAGGTAAGGTTTTAGAATTAAGATATCAAAGCGTGAGATTAACGCAAGCACAATGGTATGTGTATGTACAAACGGTCTTATGTGTGTATCCTCTCGAGACTATATATGTGAATGTGATTCAAATAGATATAAGGTTTCACTTATCGGAATCGGTTTCGACATGGCTAGTCTCCAAGACGTATTCACGCATGAGTCTTGTGTTGGATCCATCTACGTTCTGCATTTTCACAAACACAAGATGCTTCTGTTACATACTTGCATTCATATATGTATAGAGATAAGGAGAGATAGAAGAGAGAACCTTGAAGGCGAGGCGCTTCAAATTATCCCATTCGAAATTGTTTTTACAATAAGCAGACCGTACCTAGTTACGGTAACAAAAGGTTCCAAACCATAAATACAGAGTTGAAAAATGATATTGAAGTTTTTTTGAAAATGTACGAAGGAGAAAAGGAAAGCTTGGTTTACCTCTAAAATTCGAAGGGCTTGTTGCATTGGTCATGATACCCAAAAAGTAAGTTTTTAGTTTGGTTATGTCATATCAAATATACTTCTACATTAAACTGGTACGTGAATATCTAAATAATTGTTAGAGGATCGAACAAAACTAGATAAAGTTTTCCGCAAAAACTTGTTCTAGTAGATAAGTCACGTTTTGTTTTTTTTAGTCATATTTTTAACACGCTAGTGGTATATAGCATAATCACTTTTCCAAGACATGAAAACTTGATGAATGTTTTGAATGGTAAAAAACAGCGGAATCACGATTTCGAAACATGAACAAATATTATACCATTCATATCCGCAAAATGGTGGAATTGTGTTTAGGCACACGATTTTAAAGAAGGTTTTTTTTTTTTTTCAAGAAGTTAATAAACATTGCACAAATATTTAGTTGCATTATATGGCGAAAAGTTCCACTGCACGAAAAGAATGTTTGGAGAAAGCAAAAAGATTCCGTCTAAAAAATCACTAGGAGAAAACAAAATTTGTTAAAAAGTATATATGATGCATAACTTAAAGAAACTTAAAATTCATCACTAGAGTTTATAAATTTTGGTAAACTTCATGAATGTGAACCCTGAGTTAAAATTCCAACTTATATTCTAACAAGTTTCACAAAAAACCTCATACTAGAATTTTATAAGCAACTGATTTATTTATATAGAAGTGTTTTTTTTTTGGTACCTAAGTTCATGTGACGTGAAGACCGACGCATGAGAGTGGCGCAAAATTTGTCGCCGTCACTTACAGAGTTTGTGTCTAAAAATTCTCTCAACTCCATATACGCCTCAGGGTTATAACTCTGTCATTAATTAATATATAAACTATAATTATTATTAATCTAAACACCTAAATTAAATAAATAAATAAATCATCAAATCGACCTCAAGCTGAGCAGAAACTATCCTCACTGCAACGTAAGTAAAAAAGTCATGAAGATGCTTCGCTGCCTTAGCCTCAGGTGAAGCTTCTCCAAAGCCTAATTCAATTATTCAAAAATATTTAGAAAATAGACAATAATCTATATAGAACAATTGTGTATGAATCAAAACAACATTTTGTGATTAATATGTCAAATATTGTTACATACCGGGAACATACATCTTGTTAGAACATATTCGAGTTTTTTTACATTTTCGCGAATTCCGCATTAATGCAAAAGAAAGCAAAGGTCTTTTTCCAAATTTTGGATTAAGGTAAGAGAGGTAAGAGTGATGGAGAATGAGGGAAGAAGATGACTCCATAGAAATATTAGATGAAGAAAATTTGCAGGAGAGACATATTGTTTTACGATTTGGTCGTATATAATAGAATGTATTAGATTCACACATTAAAATATCTAGGATGTGGACAAATAAATATCTTCTAGTTGGAAGTATAGAGACAAAACATGTCTTATTTGTTTCAATATCTGGTATTGTAACATCAAATATATCAATTTGATTTTTTATCAATTTTAAGTTATTTTTTTAGTAAAACAATTTATCACGAAATAATAATGTTTTTTTTGTTTCTGTTGTCAGTACCAGTTAATCAGTAAATTTTATTGACTTAATGTATATCTAGGATCATAGAAAAGAGCTGTGTCAAATTTTTCTTTACCAAATAAGCTGTAGGAAGAAAAAAAAATTAAGAAAGTTTCTTATTTTTTCTAATTTTTAGGAACCACGTCTAAACACACCAAAATCATTTTGAAAAAAAAAAAAAACATATTTACAAATGTGGTAAATCAACCACAATTCTCTTGATTTACTACTATGTTTAAGTATGTGTAACTCTTCATGACAAACTAACCTTGAGTTAGACTTTAATCCTAGGTATCTTCCACGATACTAGCACCTCTAGAAACTACCGTCACTGCCTGCCGTTCTAATTAAGTTCGTGTTGCTCCACCTCATTTTTGATTTGGGTTCACGTTGAAAAGACTTCTTTCTCGCCTCTTTGTCAATTTGATGGTTCCTTTTCACATGTACCGTTATTGTTCCTTGTCTTATTTCGCTTAAGAGAGTCTTCTTATCGAGTGTACTTCAAAGTCTTGCCAAAAGCACCATCGACAGAAAAATTCGCAACATCATCACCGGAAGGCGACATAGGAAACGTTGGCGATCGCTAATGCTTTTTTGGATTCGATAACATCTTCATCGCAATTCTCATTATTGTAACCTTTTTTTATTTTTTTTGGCCAAGGTTACTCTATATTTAGGTATTGCTTTTTGTAATGCCTCGTTTTCATTTTTAATGATATTACATGATTAGCAAAAAAAGCATCGTATATAGTATAATCAATGATTTTGCACTCGGATATTTATATTTTTATGTTTTTTTTTCTCCTTTTTTAGTATGAGACCATGTTGTTAAGATTTTGCTTGTTGTAAAACCTAAACTTTTTATTTCTAACTCTTAGTCACGAATTCTCTATAAATACTTTATTTTCTCTTTAAATATCTAATTAATGCAAGAGTCTTAGAGCATCTCCAACGTTCAGATACCATCCTAGTTTCTCATTTATAATATTTTAATCATTTTGATTATTTATTTATATTTTAAATGATAATTAATAATATTGGCCAATCAAAACAAAGCCACATGTGAAATGAGTTTCTCATAGTTCCTCAAAGCAGAAACGCATCTCACTCTCTTTCCTGCTTTTTCATTATTTTCTACTCTCTCTGTTTCACAAAGAGTGTCATTCTACCATTTTTCACATAAATTAAAAAAACTAAACAAATGTCATTTCTACCCCTTATTAATACACTAGATAATACCCTCTCTATAATTTAATAAGCTGAAAAAGTAGGGATAAAAAAAGAGAATTAGTCTTAAAAACTGCATTGAAAACATAAAACGACACTCTTTGTGAAACAAAATTAAAACCTTAAAACGACACTCTTTGTGAAACGGAAGGAAAATTATTTAAATCACAAAAAATCTACTGAAAACGCTCTTAGTAAATTTATCCTTTTGTTTTGTTGTTATTGGCATACATAGACAAGGAGAGGTAGATTATAGTTAAGTTTGGTTAAGTACTAATTTTCCCCTAATCTAATTTATAATTTCAGGAAATAAAACTTTATCCTTTTGCTGTTATTGGCATACATGAGAGGTAGATTATAGTTAAGTTTGGTATAGTACTAATCTAATTTATAATTTCAGGAAATAAAACTTTATCCTTTTGCTGCTATTTGATTTCTAGATTCAGTAATTTAAGTGGATCATGATCGAACACCACACCTTACCCACTTTACAAACGTTGGCCCATGATCATATCAATGTCACATAAATAAATTCATAAAGAATTAAATTATCTGTACACGTGTCGATACTTTAGCCTAGTGAAAGGTCAAAGTCAAAACGCTAAAAATTAATGTTCTAAATCACCCGATCACATGCCATGCACGTGTTAACTCGGTTAACTGGTCCACACCACACGTGTGAAATGTTTATCTTATCTTCACATATTAGATTCTTACTGGTTCGTATAACTCACGCACTTTCTCGACGCGTGCTATATGAAGTCCAATCTTTCAACTAGCCGTTAGGATTTCGACAGCGTGGCAACAACTGTAATAATAAATTCTCATTAAAACCAATTATATACTTCTATATAGCTTTATGACCGAATTATTCCGATGAAAAGAGAAAATAGTACTACATCAATTTGTGTTGAACAAAAAAAAAAAGAAAACAAATACTACATCAATTTGCATGTATAGAGATTTTTGTTTTTAGCTTTTGGATTTTGTATATTCTTTTTTTTTTTGGATAATTACAAGCGAATTTTTGAAAAAAATTATACGAAGCTCTTTAAGATATCCTATTTCCAAAATCTTGATTGGATGATTATTATTGTATTATTTAAATATTGATAAATTATGATGTTGCATGGAAACTCTCTTCGAAGTCCGTTTCCCGTTTTCGAAACGTTTCGGAAACGGAAACACGAAAAACGTCACGGAAACGCGTTTTCTAAAAATCTATGTTTGGAAACACGATGGAAACTCACGTTTCTAAAATGTAAACGCGACAAATCTTTTTTATTGACTTTGGAAACTTAATAAATAAAAGTTGAAAAGATTAAGATTTATAGAGTAATACATATCACTAATTTTGGAAGACTCTGAGTTTTAAGATTTTTTTATCGACAAACTAGATTTGGAGGCATCTTTTTAAGATCTACGATGAAACTAATGAAAATGTTGGTCTAAATTAAATATTTGAACTTGAACCTTTTAATCTTTTTTTCTTTTAGAATTTTAGTTAACCTATTTAATATTTGATGTTTTGGACTTGTATTGTTTAATTAAACTATTTTATAGTTTTATGTTAATGTTATATATATACATATATTATATATGTGTATACGTTTCCAAAACGTTTCCAATCCCTAATTTTAGAAAAAAATCGTTTCCCGTTTCCGAAACATTTCGCTTCCACGTTTCCGTTTCCGTTTCCATGCAACATAGCCTTTGAATTTTACTGTTCATCCCAAATTTATTATTATTATGAAATGCTTAAACTGTTAAGTAGTAAAAAAAGAAATCAAAGACGGTAACAACACAACTTAAATTAAATATTCAAACTATTTTTTTCCAACATTGGACATAAAATGTACATATCATTCAATAACCGTCTTAATTTTATTATTACAAACCACATTCGTTTGTAACTTTAAACAATATGGAATGAAAGATGAAAGAAAGGCAAAATAGATAAATTCACCCAAACAGATACTCCCTCTATTTTATTATATTAGATGTTTTATGAATTTTTTTTTTCATATTATAAGATATTTAATAAGTTTCAACGTAAATTTAAATACATTTGATAACTTGTGACTATTTATATTCTGCAGTCTTTTTTATGATTTGTTGAAATGTTTTTTAACTAATAATAAATAATGTTTTTAAAACAAAAATAAATTATATAAATATATGTGTATTTATCTTAAACATCTTACATTTTGAAAAAGAGGAGTATAAAAATAGGTTAATTTACCCAGAAATAAATCTGTTCTAACTAAAAATATGATGTTAATATGGGTATGGAACTCCCATTTAATAAATGAGTAATTAACCAAAACTATATTAAATGGATCTAAATGAGTTTAAATTGATCAAGAAAACTTAAATGGAGATTAATGAGATGGGAACAGGAAAGGAGGATAAATAGCGAGTAAAATTAAATGGGGTTAAATGAATTTACGCATAAATAATAATAAGGAAGAGAAGAAAAAAATCAAGATTAATGTAAGAAAACCAGTGACGACGCGAAAAATAGTAGCCAAAATTAAAACATAAAAAAGGTTTGGGTTCCGGAGATATAGCATTTAATGTGCAGTATCTCACCTCAGTCCCTCGAGATCGTTATTCCTTATCTCTCTGCTTACTTTTTGCTCTCTGCTACTGCTTACTTTAATTTCGTACAAAAATGGAGGCCAAGATCACTGAATCGCAGCTGGAGAAAAATGTTGCTAAGTTCTTTTAGAAGATCAAGCCTCACTAGGATATCTTGGCATTTGCGATCGGCAGAGGAAAATTCTATAATAAAAAATGTGGGTTTAAAATTTTCAATGAGATGAGCTTCAATGGGGTGGATTTACCCATCTTAAAATCTCTATTTCTAACAATCTTAAATCATATTTACGAAAGAAGGTCAACTTTCTCCATCTGTTTGTCACGTCAGCATTTTAAAAAAGGACACGTGATATTTTTATTTTAAAAACAAGAAAAATGATATTGTTCATCTTATTTACCTATTTTACTACTAAAAATACATTATTTTCACCCCTAGTTACATGAAAGATGTATATGATCGTACATGGGTATCATACGAAACTAGTTTTCAGACGGATTTGACACAAATTTACACGAAAAATTGAAAATTTTGGGAACCCACTTTAACGGCGCAACAACACAGTTTTTTTTCTCCATAGAAAGACGACAAAAATAGAGAATCTTTTTGGGAAAAAAATGAAGATTCGTGTGTTTGTGACATCTTGTGTGAGAAGAAACTTCACGGGTGGTTCTGATCGGTGGAAGAAAGCAATGGCAAAGGTTGCACAACAAGGAACATTGGCTCAGAAACAAGTTCAAAAGAAGCGGATCGGATGGCTGAGAAAGCTTGAGTGGAAGCAAAATACGGTTTGGGTATCACCGATCAAATCAAGCTTGCCAAAGTCATCAAATCGGGGAAAGCAATGAGCAAAAAGTTTTAAAATAGAGTCGCTAAGGTGGAAAAGATAATGATGGTCCAGAAGATCGGCAAATAAATCTAGTTTTTATTTTTTCTTAATA